AGAGAAGCTGTGACTGCCCCATCCCTGGCAGTGTTCAAGGCCAGGTTGGATGGGGCTTGAAGCAACCCGCTCTAGTGGAGGGTCTGATCAAAGGGCACTAGAAACTACACCTTTTGCAAAATGCTGACCAGCTACATTCACAGACTGAAAAAATCCAGTCGTAGTAAGACTTACAGTGGTGTTTAACAGCATACGCGCAGTAGTCAAGAGTATAGTCAGAAATTCAGTAAACAAGACATACTTAAATTCATAAACTATTCAAGAAAGACGGTATTATTAAGAAATTAAACGTTGATTTTCATATATAGCCCATAAGTTCTATAGGGTCTGGGAATTTATGTCATTACAAAAAGAACCAACAGCAGCACCCCATTTAACCCCGCCTCATTAGTTTCCCCCCTGGCAGGCAGTGCCCAACCCAAACAAACCCAATGGCCTCTCTGCAAGGGTTGCCCCAACTCACCACTGGAGACCAGCCAGACCCACTCTGATGAATCTGAAAACAGACAAGAGCCATCAAGTGATGCTGCAAATGAATACAGATGTCACACAAAACACATAAAGCGCTGCCCTGCCAATAGGTGCGGTGATGCTTGCGCTGCAGCGCCTGAGCTAAGAGCTGCAGGAGAACCAGATCTCCATTAGCAAGTGAATAACAACTGTTCAACCCAGCTGCAAGTTTACCCACGACTTTACAGATTGATATAAAATATTTTAGGGCTGATCATGCTGACATCACTTAAGTTCTATGTAGCCATGAACATACGGCCAATATACAGCAAAAGTTGGCTTGCCAATATACAGCAAAAGTTGGTCAGCCTGCAAGCTGGTCATCCTGAAAGGAGACAACTCTTTTAGAGACTACATCACGCTGAACTTGTCCATCTTGCCGGGACTTCCTTGCCCACTGCCACATCCATTTCCCAATAAACTGTCCTTTTAGAAGTTCCACTAAACCCTACAAGACCCTAAAACGTTAATGACAAATTGGGCAGACATCCTTTAATCAACACGTTTGAGCGTTCGCTTGCCTGTTCTCCTTCCAGACCCCTCATTTTCGGGATGGATGGCCCGCAGATATCGATGTCCAGCAGAGCAACCTGGAACACAGCCCAGCCCCCCGCTGGCAGCCGCCTGGAACGCTCCGGCGCACCCACAGCGGGTCCGCAGATCCGAGCGGAGGGCGGCCGCCGCAGCCCCACCCCGTGCCGCCCGCCCCGCGCACCTGCTTGGCCTCGTCCGCCGCCAGCCCGTGAGCCAGGAGCGCGCTGAAGGTGCTCTTGCCCACGCCGCCCTTCCCCGAGAGCACCAGCACCGTGTGCTTCACCGCCCGCAGCCGCGACCGCAGCTCCGACAGCTCCGCTGCGGCAGCCACAAGGGTCAGCGACGAGCAGGCACGACCAGCTCAAGCCCCGCCCCTGCCCAAGCCCCCATAAACTCCGCCACTACAAACTACGCCTCTTCTCCATTCCTAACATTACAGCCTAAAAACCAAACTCCAGATCCTGACCCTGCACAGTTATTCCTTGCACTGTTCATCACCCAGCACAAACTGACTGTTCTCCTCACAAAAACCTGCGTGTGGAAACCGCAGCTGCAGAACTGGATCACCTGGAGAGACCAGCTGAGAACCCCCACTGAAGATGAAGACCTCACCGACACCAAGCAAAAGGCAGTTCCTGCCTCAGAATGCTTCCAACCTATGGAGAAATGAGCAGTGTATCACAGAACCATATTTAGCCATATGAGGAGGAGAATATATTTCCATGATCTTTGACAATCTTTTTACCTGCCCTTCAGTTCCCCACTGTGTGTGAAGTTCTCGCAATACTGTTAGGATTGAACCAGTTCAGAGTCCTAGCTGCCACAGGTGCAGCAGCAGCAGCCATCTGAATGGTTCTTACAGGAGTAAAGCTCCAGTGTTCATCACATGGTGCTCAGTAGTGTCACCACTCTGTGTTAGAACAATGCACACAACACGATCCTTGAGAGGAGCTGTCTGTTTTCCTCCTACGGGTGTGTATGACAGGCAGGAGGTGTCATAAACTGGTGAATTCCAGTTTAAAACCCGTGGATGAGAGCTCAAGCTGAAGAGAAAGGCAGGTTGTGGGGCTGGGTGTGGGATTGTCAGTGAACCAGCACGCTCCCTGCTCACAAAGCTGCTGTCTGCTCTTTGGTGGAGGGGCAGAAATCTGTGATTCCATGTACATATGTATTTTATTTACCCAGGTTGAAAAAGGTGCACAAGCTGCTTCACAATTATATATCTGGAGAAGAAGAAACAATTGCAATTGTTTTGTGTAAACTTAGAAGAAATCTGTGCTGATTTAGGGACTCTTAGTACAGTGCTTAATTACAAATAAATACTTATGTTCAAATTTCTTGGTACAGAAGACAGTCACAATGCAATTTTAGAGCACTGGATTTCAGAAAGAGGGTGTGTTTTTGTTTGTTTTTTTTTTGCCAGAAAGGCCAAGAAGCTGAAAGGAAAAATGAGAAAAGTTATCTGAGAAGTTACTCAACATTCTGAACTGGAAAAATGTCATCATCAGAGGAAGGTCTTGTCCATCTGTTATACTTTTTATGAAAGGTGAATCTAGTGGAGGGGATAAACAAAGCCCAAGAGAAGTACACTTTTTTTTTGGACAACCTGGACCAAATCTTCTGCTGAGATCACTGGACAATCCCAAGAGATGACTTGCAGAGGCTGTGTTTTGTCTCCACTGCTGCCTTCCCTGCAGCCACCAACTGATAGACAGGAGTCACTCTGCAGCAAACCTTTGATTTCATTTTGCTCAGGGTGAGCTCACTGAAGGCAAACCCAGTGACCCACTTGCAGTGAGCCTCCAGCAAATCTCTCTGCACTGTAACCAGTCTCGCTCACATCATGCCTGACTCTGGGTCCCACCACACGCAGTGCTGCACTGCGGGGAGAGCACTGCTGCTCTGGGGGGAAAACAAGGTGCCCTGGGACAGGAGGGACAAGTGGAGCCCTGGAACATGGGTGTTCCATGGGTGTTCCAGAACCCATGGAACAGTCCTGGGGACCCAGTGGCAGCTCTGTTGTGTCACAAAGCCCATGCAGTTCTGGAAGCCCCAGGGGTGCCCAGAGCAACCCAGGGTGCTGGACAGCCTGCAGTGGCTGCCTGAGCCCAGGGCAGCATGGAGTTCCTGGGGACCACACAGCTAGCCAGTTACTGTGGCCCCAAGAAAAGCTGCCTGCTCCCAGATATATTTCCCACCACCACCACCAAGGACACCTACCAGGCCTACTACCTTCCAGGCTACCGCCACCTGAGCACCTGGCGGCCTGGTCTGTTCCACAAGGTGGTTTCTGTCCCTCCCAATGGTGACAATGGGCAATTTAAACCCAGCAGGAGGCCACCCACTGTCCTGCCTGGGTTGTGCTCCAGCCTGCATGCCCGCTACAGCACTCGTGACTGGCACCACTCTAACATGGTCCAGCTAAAAGGCTCTGAAGCCTCCAGGTACTGTGCTGGTAGAATGAACGTGGATTCAGTAAGACTGATGCAAGAGAAGGATCAACTGACTTACCAGATGCAAGAAGACAGCCAAAGAAATCTGGTAGAGAGGATCTCCGACATTGATTACTGGCGATCTGAGCTCATGTATGAGCTAGAGCGTCTGCTGAAAGAGAAACAAGCCTTGGAAACAACAAAGAAGCGTCTGGAATGTGCTGTGGATGAACTGCAAGGACCACTGAAGGTAGGTTTGACATTCCTAGTTATCGCCTGACTGCAAAATGAAGACTGCTTTATCTCTGTTGAATACTAGTGTGACTTTTACTGTTAGCATCACGACAGATTTTGGTGAAACATACTCAGCAAGAAAGAAATTTGGCCACTATGGGCTTCATATATGAAAGTCAACACAGGAACCTTATCAGGGCATTTCTGTGCTCTCTTCACCTTCCTTTCTGCTTGAGGCGCCCAGAGGGTAAGTCTCCTTCAGACCCTGGCCAGTCACCTCAGTACATTACAGCAGAGTAGAAAATGGCCCTGTAAGCTGCAATATCTCAGTATTCTTAACTAGCTCTGAATTTTATGCTCTTACTTGGTGAAAATAGTATTTTCACCCTAGAGAGCGTATAATTTGTGTTACATTCTGCAGTTCTCCAGAATCTTAAAGGCAAATTAATTGCAACAGAAAAAAACCACAGTAATGTAAGAGTTAGTGAACGATGCTACCAATAACTAGAGTTAAAGTTTTCTCATAAACATCTGGAATACTGCTGATGGAGACATGTCTATTGTGTTTCTATGCAAGTACAAATAGAAAACCAAATTTGGTATTCAACAATGACTTGTTTAGTTGTCTGTATCTGTACTGACTCAAAGTGTTGGGCTGAGGATGCTTTCTATGCAGGGAACATTTTCTGCTGAAATGATTTGTGCCAGCTAATGCTGTTTCATTTATTAGTATGGTTCTAAACAAGTGCATGGGACCTGTGGCAGGTTAACTGAATTCTCTATTGCCTGGTTATACAGTCATTCTCTTGTACAGGTATGCAACTTCCGAAGCTTGGCATTGGGTAAGGCAGGATGAGGGGAGATAAGATGAAAGGATTTTTGCCCACAACCAGAAGTGGTGGTTTTGACAGCACTCACAACCAAGCTCAGTCATGTTGAGGTGTAGGCCTTGCTGCACATTAATAAGCAACTTATCAAATGGCAGCTATGATGGCAGCTAATCCTTAAAAGCATGTATTGACAGCTTAAGTAGGAAAGAGCCACTAAGATGGATCATTTGAGCCACCTCCTATTCTGTTCCACCCTTAAGACATGGTCTTTACTTGACATGTCAGCTCAGTGGCCCCTGCAAACAAGGTTCAAGGTTTCACTCCATAATGCAATATTGAGCCTACTGCAAATGTTCTTTGCTTGCAGATAGCCATAGAATGCTTGTACCACCGTGAGAAGAGAAAGGGTATAGACTTAGTTCATGACAACGTGGAAAAGAACCTCATAAAGGTAAGATCAGACTTACTAATTTATTTTTCCAACTGTGGAAGTAACTAAAATCCAACCAAATATTTATCAGGGTAAAAGTATTGTGATAATTTCTTCCTTTCATTCATTTGGAAGACTGGGGAGGGGGAAGAGGAAGAAACTAGGTAAAACTGTACCTACTGGGGATGGTCAATGTTCTGTTCATCCTTCTGGGAGCAAAAGGAACAACCCAGCATTCTGTCTTGTCCAGTTCTGTCTTCCCTGATCCTATAAAAAACAAGGTAAAAACATTACTCAAGATTGTTTTCTGGGCCATGGTCTATAAAATAGCAGAAGTTCTTTGGTCTTACAATATAAAATGCTGTTTTACTGCCTTGATATATATATATATATATATATATATATATATAGTGTTACTGAACAAAGAAAATGAGATGGATAGTAGTGATTGCTTTTAAATAAGAAAAAATAAATCACATAACATTTTGCTAGCATATTTCAAAGAAGTTATACTGGATGTGTGTGAGGGTAAAAATAATAGAAAAGAACATTATGGGACAGTGGCATTTCTTCAAGCACTTTTCTGGATACAGAAGAATGTGCAGACCACTGGGATAACCGAGATGCATCTGCTGAGCCTACAACCTGCAACTTGAACTTTTAGTTTTAATGAAGAATCAAGGGTTAATATACATTAGCTTAAGTATTTCAGCACTTAATTTAGCCTGGGAATTCAAGGTAGGATAAAATACTGCTAAATGTTTCTCATGGACAGATGAAAACCCTTTTGTTTCAAAATGAAAAATAAAGGCTGTTTGCCAGATCTCCCCAGGTGCTCCTGTGACCAGTGGAGTGAGCTAGACAGTGACAAGAAAGGCCAACAGAGGCTCATTTCGTAATAACAGGAAAGCCAGTTCCAAAAGTTACTGTCAGTCCTACACATTCTGTGCAAGTACAGAGACAGAGCCTGTAGTTTTAAATCTGGGCTGTCTTAATGACTTCAAAATAAAAAAAACCCACTTTATTCCCCATTTCAAAACTCACAAAACTGTACACACTTAGTGAAAGGATATGTTGGGCTAAAGCAGAGTTTTTTTTAAAAGGAAAGATGCTGGAACACCGTAATGTCATTTGAGGGACCATAATTACCATGTTTGCCGTTTTCATATTGAGTACTTTATATTCATTTTAAGCTGAGTGGAAGCAGGCTTGGAGTTTCTTCAACTAACACTTATAGTTTCGAAGAATATTACAATATACTTCCTCAGGGAGCCTGAAATTAGATTTTCAACCTACTCCACCATCAGCAAAATATTTGTACTAGGAAAATGCAGAAGCAGTTAGAGGGGGTAGTTTAATGGGTTAAAGTTCATGTTTCAAGTAGCTTCATTATACTCAAACCAAGGAAAATTTGCCTTTATTAGAATGACTCCATGCAATAAAATTTACTAACATGTTTGATAGAATATAAAAAGCCATACAAAACCAAGTCAAAAGACACAATTTCGTAGCACTAAGGAAGAGAGGGACCAAAACACATCCTTTCTTGACTTACACTATGTGTGAGGTATGCAAGACGGTTACAACATCTAGAATGGAGAATAAAAAGGGTACATTCACCAAGACAAATGAAGTTTGATAAAAGCACTGATAACTGTGTTTTCCACTGTAGGAAACTGATGTATTCAAGGAATGCCAAGAAATACTGAAAGAACTTGCACAGAAAATCAGTCAACAGCTGGGGTAAGGCTTTACATTTAATTCCTGTTTTAAAGATAAGAACACAGAAATCAGTGTGGGCTAGTACCTAGTGAGACACTGGAAACAGCAAAGACAAAGCAGCATGTTGACCTGTTAGATGCTCATTGCCCTCCACTTTTAATCCTTACCAGTGATAGAATTTATATGTTGAAATGCAGAACAGCAATACTATTTAAAGATGACTAGGACTCAATTTTTCAAGCCACATTTAATCTGAAATCCTTTATTAAAATTAGGGACTACAAAATTATAACTTTGTTGTGCCATTGTTGCTATGTTGCATACTTGAGTGAAATTCAAATGGATTTTTTTTTCTTAATTATAAAGCTAAATCAAAGCAAATTTATTGACAACAGAAACAAGAATCTAAGCACATCCTAAGATATGAGAGGAGTTATGGAATAGAGTTACATTATTTTTATATATAATCATATATGTTTTTGTTATGGGAGGCTTTGGAATGTATTTTATTTCTTTGAGAGTACACAAATATTCTAGTGAATGCAAATTATATTGAAGTCTTTTCATTTAATTAGGCACAACTATTACGATAAAGTGTTCTGTTAACTACACACAACTGACACAAATCTTAAGTCATGCTTACGTGACATGATTCTCAAAAGAAACAGTTCAAGTACACACAGGCAAGGAAGATCAAATTGTACAGTTCTTGGTTACTACAGAAGAGGAGAGGAAGGCACAAGTAGATTTTATAAAATATTGCTCTTATTAATGGCACTGCGGACTTGCATAGGTCATGACAGATACATTTCTGCAGTTCATCCCACTGTGGTAACATATTTGCTGTATGATCAGATGAAAGCTAAGTATGCATTTGGTGGCATGAACTGCGTGTATCTCTCCAGGCTGGCATTTCTGGTTCCTCTTGATTCAGTTCTGTCACCACATCAGCAGACTGATAGCAATGCCAATTGACAAGTGCAGCACGGAAACAGCAATGTTTGTAAGAATGTCACTGTGTCTGCTGTCTTCCTGATGCCCTGGAAAACAAGACTTTGAGTCTATCTTTATCCACAGTACTCTTATTCTACCCAGGGACTACCAGGCCTTCCCCCTTTTTGGAAGAGCTAAGGAGGATTAAGTTACTCCAAAAATTCTTGTGGGTAAGAAGGCAGAGATGGAGCAATGTATTTCCCTCCTTGTGATCAAGATGAGCAGAAATAATTAAACAGATCTTCCAGTGACACACAGTTTGAATCATGCTAAGTGAATGTCTCCCCAGACCAGGAGAGATGGGAAACCATAACCTTTTCCTTCTCCCTTACAGATGTGCTGGTATGAAGGTTATCACTGAAAACCTCCTCCCTTTTGCTCTCTGAGGCTTTCCTTCCTGCCACACAACAACTACATGTTGTTTTTCACCCTTGTGGTTGTCCGTCATCAAAATGACAAACGTTATTAAATCCGATGCGTTAAATACAATTCTTTGAGGAATACTCGGTAGGGGCTATAAGGGGTGAATGGTACAGCAGCTCCTTCTAGCTACAGTACAGCACCAGGCATTTTTAAGACACTGTAAACGACAACTATAAATTGAAGCATTGTAGGAAGCTAATGAAAGCAATTAACTGTTTAGCACAGCAACAGCATTAAAGGTGGTTCAGATTAAGTTAAGCTTTTCCCCTTTCACAGCATCAACAGAGATGCACAGCATGCCCTGGAGCAGGATCTTTCTGACAAGAACTCAGCCCATTTTATTGATGAGAAATGCTTTAACCTGAGGAACACATCAAACAGCATCAACTTTTACTATGGAGTGGAAAAAGCAGATAAGACGTGAGTATCAGTGACTGTTGTAGCCTTCCTCATCAGTGCTGGAGAGGGACATTTTACAAGGGCCTGTACTGACAAGACAAGGGGGATGGCTTTAAACTGAAAAAGAACAGATTTAGATTAGACATTAGGAAGAAGTTTTTCCTTGTGAGGGTGCTGAGTCACTGGCACAGGCTGCCCAGAGAAGCTGTGGCTGCCCCATCTCTGGCAGTGTTCAAGGCCAGGTTGGATGGGGCTTGGAGCAACCTGGTCTAGTGGAAGGTGTCCGTTCCCATGGCAGAGGGTTGGAACTGGATGAGCTTTAATGTCCCTTGGTATTCTGGTATTCTACTATTCTCTTTCCATGCTCCATGCTTTAAATAGGAGCTTGATTGCAGCACAAGTCTCTGAGAAGTGATTTAGAAAGAAGTGGCTTCTCTCTCTGTATGGCCCTGTTTTATCTTGGTGTGAAACCCTCCATCATCTTCAATTATTCTGTGCCTGCTAATGGCTGCCATTGTCGGAGGCCAGGCAGAAGCTGGCAGGCTGCAGCACCTACAGCACTGATGTGGGGTGAACTGTAGTTTTCAACAAGGACCACTGTTCACAACCATTGCAGCTGACTCCTTGCCCTCAAACTCCTTTGTACAGGAAGCTCCCTCTGGTTTTGATTTAAGCTGTTTGGTGACCTTCAGGTTTCAAAACAACAAATAAAAATTCAGCTAAGGTGTGCAGTTGTGTGCAATGCGGTAAACAGCATTCAAGCACACACAAAGGACCATATATGGTTTCTACAAAAGTAGTTTGGGTTATTTGGAAATGAGTCCATCAAGCTATACTAAGATATGTATTAAATAGGATGATCAAAAAGATTTGATACAGCTTTAGCAGCACAGAGTGAACCAAAATTACTCAATTAAAATGTCCGAATTGCATGCAGTTTTAGAAGTGTTTAGTAGGAGTGGCTTCATCAAAAACTGTATCCAATCCAAAAGCGACAGCAGAAGACAAGCAGCTTCCAATAGAGGGCAGTGTTTTTGTGCTAATGACTTGTTAGTTCCCTTCTCACTCTCTAAAATGGCAGTATCTGAAAGGTGAGTGTGATTCGCAATCTCAAATTATAATGATTCTGTCTTGTTGGATAAAGAAAAAAAAAACAAACACCCCAGTATTATTTGTTTACTTATGTTCTGCTTTTCATTAAAAGCTCACTTCATGCACTCCTGAAATTAGGGCATACCTGAAGGAAACTTGGCAGGTGTTCTGCTGACTCTATTAACACCACCTACTTTTAGGATTAGCCATGAATAAAATTATTCTTGTCAGCTCTAGTAAAAAGCAGATTCATGTGGATAAGTTTCACAGCCTCCTCCTTTCTCACCAGCCATTATCCAAAGAAATGCCATTTTTCATTAACATTTTCCTGAAACCACTTGGCAGCCTGAGCCCTACCTGCAGCACTCCATAGCAGAGCAGGTGTTTTCTGCCTCAGCAGAGCCAGCCGGATAAATTACAGTCTGAAAAAGCAATGTTGGAGAACAGCTTAAGTACAAAGTACTTCAGAAAGTCAACATGGAAACCTACTTGGAAATTTAATTCTTTACTGAGAAAAAGAAAATAATTCATCAGGCCATGGAGGGGGAAAAAATCACACAAAATCAAATACCCTGCAGAAAGTACACGGAGATTGTCTGGATCAGCAGCTGTAAGCACTGTCAGCTCAGGTTTACTAC